AAATATCCCGCGTGATATAATTACTGGTCTCACCCACTTTTAACCATGTTTCGGTGATAGCTAAAATATCAATCTCTCTCTCTACAACATAATCCTTAATCAATAAGGACTTGTTGTTGATTGACCTGGCATTAAGTACTGAAAGGTGAAGTTTCTTAATATTCCGAGTCTTATCGCTAAGGCAATCATCAGTAGAGATGTTAACTTTAACCAGGTTTCTGGCTCCTACACGACGATAATTGCGAGTGCTTACTCTGTTAGTAACACGGATTGGGATATTCACAGATATGTTAGGTGGGTTCAGAACAACGTCGTTAAAAGGTTGAAAAACGGAACTTGAACTCAACATTTCTATAGAATAATTTAGCTTCTGTTTAGCAGTATGGGCATCGAGGCATGACCGAGGTGAATTTGAGAAAGAAGGCATACTTTGCCGATGAATAAACTCTTGAGAAGGTCCAGGATTACGGGATATGTCAACATATATCGTTAGATCCATAACAAACAAACTAGCTGGTAGAGATAAACAGACCATGCCGTGCTTAGTACTTTTATAAACGGGAAGCGACGCTCCATATTTGGATGGCAGCAACTCCCGCTTGTAACCAACCCGTAGCTGAATAAATTGTAAATAACTCCAAGCAGGACAACCATCGTCGAGCAATCCATCAATATTTCGCAAAAACAATCGTTTAAAAACAGCCCCTTTACATTTTGATTGAGTATTGAGCAGGAACAAAACCAAATAAACAAAAAATATGGAGAGCATTCGTCCCTGACTGGCAGCCATTTTGATTATTCATATATTATTCACATATAGATCACCTTTAAGCTTCATGTTTCCGGGAACGGCAAACGGCAGGTTCGAATTTTCTTGGCAAAATTTTCGTTGAACGTTTTCGTTTCATATTTTCTTTCTTGCGTCGAAAGAATAATTATGCATTTCAGTTTTAAAACAGCAAGTTAATTTACTCTTTATTGCCTGATACCGTAAATTTTTTCTGTGCCTGCCGTTTGCCGTTTCACGTATAACGCGAAGCCTAAACTCTCTATTATAGATAGTAACAGCCGTTCTTGTAAACGTGAAAATGGCATAGTACAAAACATGGACTGGACTGGACTGGACAGTTGGACTGGACTGGACTGGACAGTTGGACTGGACTGGACAGTTGGACTAGACTGATTTTTACATTTTCTCTATTTTTGACTTGCACAAAAGAATATTTCATCACAGAATAGATATACCATGTCAAGTCTATTTTGTGATTTTATCAATGAACAATGTGACGGGAGTAGATTGGTTGCAGTCAAGAATATAGCGTTTTGCACCTGAATTACTTTTGATTTTCGGAAGTTGAAATACTTTACCTTCGCCGATGACTTCACTTTATAACTGGAGCGAATTCTCTTAAAGCGAAACAAAGCCT